TTTAAGAAAAGAACTATAGTACTTACGACCATTTCAAACTGTTATTTCACATTAATAGCATTATTTGTAAGCAACTTTTTATGTTAACATATTAATGACAGTCTGAAGAAACCACCTTTATAAAACCTTTACAACCTTTACAACCTTTACAAAGAACAACCTTTACAAGAAACCTTTACAAAGGTTTCTTATTTAAAAGATTACGTAATCTCTAAACAATAATCGGTACATATATCTAGCAAACATTCGGAGGAAATGTGAAAAAAAAAACTGGGGTTTTGGACATTTGTAGTTTTACTTCCTAAGTAGGAAAAGTACTGATATTGTTGTCGAAATGTAAGTACAGTAAGTAGAAACCAAAAGTGACACATTGGAAAAGCGAGTTTAGCTACATCTGTAAGTTAAACCTCTCTTACGATCACAGCGAAATCAAAAAGATCCTCCAAGATCGCAGCAACATCCACGATTACCCACTGCAGTTGTGATTTTTTACTTTGCACTTTACACAACTGTCCTTGAAGTGCCGTTAATGAGTGGAAACCTTTTTTGTAAGCTATTGGTGACGATGGTTAAAAAATTGTACGTTTCCCAGCACTAATACAACACTGATTCACGGTATTTTTCCCGGTTATCAAAACTCAAGAACAATCGTTGGACTTGCGATTAATTAAACTTGTTAAGTAAAGCACAACGTTTTTAATCTCACTTGGTTTGGATGTGCTAACAAAACTTGATCGGAAATGGTTGCGTTATTTGTAAACAACTTTTAATGTAAACATATCAGTGACAGCTAGAAGTGAGAACTAATCCAAACAGCTGACTGTTATTTCATAAAATGTAATGGTAAACATTGGGAGAAAACTTGACAAAAATCGAACAAAATTGTGTTTTTGATGGTTCGTTATTTTGTTTTCAAAGAAGCGAGGCCATGATTTTATAGCCAAAGACACTCACCAATCCAGTAAATACAGAAAAATGATTAGAACCTTGATCGGTACTCTGGTTTTCTAGGAGTAGGCCGCGTAAAATGACATTTTGGCGTCACAGACGGAATGACAGAATGGACAAACAGACAGACAGAAATTGAGGTAAGACTCGTTTCGGCTTTCTTAGGATATGAAACGTAAAAATAACCAAAAACTGCATGATTCTAAGCAATGTACAGACAAAACTGTAATTTTATTTATATATTTATATATATATATATATATATATATATATGTCCGTTAGCCAGATAACTCGAGCAAAAATGATCCGATTTTAAAGAAATTTGGTACAAACGTGTAAACCTACGTTTATTTGAACGAGTTTGCGATCCAGCATAATCGGACCATGGGAACGGGGGTTTATGGGGTAAAAATGGGGTTTTCCCATTTTTGACCCTAAAAACAAAAAAATCTTGCAATTTATTTTTAAACCGTTTTGTAGAGCTTAAAAACAGAAATAATTTAGTATATTGAAGCGTTGTTGTATGCCTAACGGTCACGGAAAAAATTAGTCTAGGGGGGATGGGCACCCCTGATATACCCTAATTTGAATTTTAATTTTTAACATAGCGAATATAAATTCTGATTATTAATTGGAATGTTTTATTTCTTTATATTATATTTTAAAAAGAAAGCCATGTTTTACTGTATATATATACCAGCTGTAACCCGCGAGCTTTGCCCCGTTTAACTTCTTAATTTTCAAGATGATCTCGTTCGCCTGGCTCAATCACGTCCTGGTTGAAGTTCGTTCGCTACGCTCACTCACCTTTAGGTTGGAGCTCGTTCGCTACGCTCACTCACCTTTAGGTTGGAGCTCGTTCGCTGCGCTCACTTGCCTTCAGGTTAGCTCGTTCACTACGCTAACTCGCCTCCAGGTTGAAGTTCGTTCGCTATGCTCACTCACCTTTTGGTTGCAAATTAGCTGTTGTCATAAATGTAAAAGAAATAATAGTGCTGCACCCTGTTGGTAATCCTTGTAACTTTAATGCTATTGAACATCATAGAACAGAACCAACTTGTTTAATTGAAACAGCTGTTAAGATTCATTAATTCCATTTCTCATAAGGTTAACATGGGAAACTCCAGAGCCACTGGGGCGGAGCCGATTGGACGGATCACGAAATTGATGGTGTATAAACCTATTCCATGACATTCTACACGTATGTACCAAGTTTTGTGGCAATCGGTTCAGCGGTGTCTGAGTTTATCACTGCCAAACAAACAAACAAACAAACAAATATATATACAAACATCCTCTTTTATACTTATAGATATGTGTCCGTTAGCGCGATAACTCAAGCAAAAATGATCCGATTTTGATGAAATTTGGTATAAACGTGTAAACCTACATTTATTCGAACGAGTTTGCGAACCAGCATGATCGGACTATGGGAACGGGGTTTTGTGGGGTAAAAATAGGTTTTTCCCATTTTTGACCCTAAAAACACAAAATTTTACAATTTCTTTCCAAACCATTTTGTAGAGCCTAAAAAACAAATAATTTAGTATATTGAAGCGGAGAAAATTCCAAAAAATTGTAAATTTAAAATTCCCATGTTATTCTTATGGAGAATAAGTCAACTGTTGTAGTTTGCTTGTTTATGAACATATTTTGATCGAGTTTGGAAAATACTTTCATTTTTTACTACACTATTGACTTATTCTCCATAAGAATAACATGGGAATTTTAAATTTACAGTTTTTTTAAATTTTCTCCGTAACCATTAAACCCATGATAAAGCTTCAATGTACTAAATTATTTCTTTTTTAAGCTCTACAAAATGGTTTGAAAAGATATTGTGAAATTTTGTGTTTTAGGGTCAAAAATGGGAAAAACCTATTTTTACCCTATAAAACCCCCCATAAACCCCAGTTCTCATAGTCCGATCATGCTGGTTCGCGAATTCGTTCGAATAAATGTAGGTTTACATGTTTGTACCAAATTTCATCAAAATTCGGTCATTTTTGCTCGAGTTATTGTGCTAACGGACACATATATATATATATATATATATATATATATATATATATGAATTTGAACGGATGGTGTTTTTGGCCTCTAGGGACCTTAAAACGAAAAAGTAAATCTGAATCTGTCCCGGGTCCAGGTCTTACCATGAGTACTACGGTATTAGCTTATTCCCTATGTATGGGAAATTCGCTAAAAACAATCTAGACTTTCAAAGAAATTCTCAAACTCACATTCGGAACAAAACAAAACAACAGACATAATATATACAGTATACATATTATTGAAAAAAATATATCCCTAGACACTATCTACGGATGGCCTACTTTGCCTTCTTTAATAGTATTTTAAGCTATGGTATTTTACTGTGGGGCTGTGGTCATGATGTTAGTAGGAGCTTGCTCCTACAAAAGAAGGCTTTAAGAATCTAAGTACAGAGCCCATTGTAAACCCTTGTTTATTCAGGAAAAAATACTCACTGTTTTTAATTTATTTATTTATGTGTGTCTTGTTTATGTAAAAGTAAATATTAATTCTTTAGCTTTAATATCACATTCGCATAGTAATTTTACTAGACATAGGAATAATTTAGCTTTACCTTTAGTCAGGCTAACAAAGTCCCAAGAATCTGTCTCTTATCTAGGGTTAAAAGTGTTTATTAATCATTTGCCAGCTGAAGCTTACTGTATTGATAAGGGGTCTGACTTAAGGGAGGTACAAATGAGGCAACGATAACATCATAGTTTAGTTCAAAATTCCTCCGTTACTGCGTTGTAGTAGAGAGCACAGCGCGTAATTTTTACTTCACTATTAGGCCTAGTTAATAATCAAATTAAGAACAATTATAAAATTAATCTTAAAATTTTGCAATTATTAAATTAAAATGTCATAACCTAACCAAACTAACCAAACGTGCTGATAATGAAAAAATCGAATGAAGGTTTACTAATCTAAAAAATAGTTTTGTTCATAAAATAAAATTATAAATGGCTAAAATTCAATTATACAATTCTTTTATTATAAAATTAAACTGTCATAACCTAACCACACCAACCAAACTTGCTGATATGAAAAAAATTGTTGACAAAATGTTAGTGCTGCCAGCGGGATTCGAACCCGGCACCTTCGGATTATCAGCCCGACACGCTATCCACTACACCACCGAGGCCGATGACTGAATTCCGTATCGTTGCGGTAATGGTGTTCCCTCAAGAGGAGATCTGACAGCTGACGTCATCGAAGGCTCTTCTGTACCTCCCTTGAGTAAATACCGATAATAAGTTATTTAAAAGTAAACTTTTTTTTTTTTTTTTAAAGGTAGAAGGTAGGGAACATTATATTATTTATTTAACTTTTTTGCTGGTTATTAAGTCACCCTTTTTATAGTTTAAGTGAAATTTGTATGTCCGACACTGATATTAGTTTTTACTTTTCTGACTGATGTAGGCCTACACGTGTACATTGTTGTTTAAATTATTTTGTATTGAATCTTATAGGCTCTAATTAACATGCTATCCACTAGACATTTTATCTTTGTGAATTAATCAGACTTCTTAGCCTAAGTTACTCTTATATTGATCTCAACTATACAAAATGATCTTTTTGTAATTTGTTGCAATAAATTCTTGATTCTTGATTCTTGACATTAACTAACAAATCAAGTAAAAAACGCAAATAATTTTCATGTAAAGATAACCTCTCAATACACCTTCCAACTTGTTTTTAATTTTGCTAATGCAAATAAGCAGCTGTTTAGTAAATGGGTCAACCATTTTGTCTATTACGATTGTTTTAGTGTACGTTATACAATCAATATGTTGAACTATTGACAAGAATTCAGCAATAAGCTACAACCGATTAAATCAATCAATAAATAATTCTGATTCATGAGATTGCTTATAATAAAAGTTTACGACTGTTTACAAGAGATGACTCTTATACTCCCTGGGGAGTAAAAGAGCTACTTTTGACCCGCAACACATGTACTTAAAACTGCTGTTTTTGCTGTGTTATGACGAATAATCTACTATTTGATATTTCAGGTAGTTTCCAAACCTGAGACATTGGAGTCCCCAATGAAATTTTCAATTCTTCTTTCCCCAATATCTCCAGAACCAAGGATTGATGTGACACCCGACACTACTCTCAATACAATCAACTACGACTTCGACCTCTCTGACTTGAGTGCAGACAACAGCACTGCTGATGACATGTAAGTTTGAACACTTAAAGTATTATCATGCTTTACAATAAGTCAACTATAAACAACAATATTAAAATTCAAATTCACTTTACTGTCACATAAAAACATTTGTACATAGCAAAGCTATTAAACTGGTGACATTGTCAATTCAATCTAAACCTAAAAATACAATTAAGTTACAGAACATTTTTGTCTGACTCTGAAACAACAATTACATATAACAATACTGCTTATTTTTGTAAGAAGTCACTTACAGAGTAAAATACTTGGTTTAAAAGATAACTTTTTAGAGTATTCTTAAAGCTCTTTAAACGGATTTGGCTTTTAATGTTTGTCGGTAGATTATTAAAAAACGTCATACCCATGTAACTAGGGCCCTTTTCATAGATTGTTAAGTTATGTATTCGGTATTGAAAATTGTCTTTGCGCCTTGTGTTGTATGCATGTAAATGCTGCTGTCCACAAAGAAGATCAAAATTCTTCTGAATGAACAGTAAGCATGAATATATATAGAGAGAGGGAAGGCTCAATAATCCTAACTGTTTAAAGATTGGCTTACATGAGACTCGTGGCCGCGAAAACGTCATAATGCGAACAATTCTTTTTTGAAACTTGAATATTTTTCTCCATTTAGCCGATGAACCCCATAGCTCAATTCCATATTTCATAATGGAATAAAAATAGGCAAAATAAACCATTAATCTAGTTTCCAAATCAGTTCTATCCCTTAACACAAGCATTTGGAAACAAGCAGAATTCAGTTTATGGCCAAGTATTGTTATGTATTTTTTCCAGTTTAAATTTTGGTCAATTGTTAATCCCAAAAATTTATTCTGTATTGTTGATGTAATTTCAGTATTTAAAAACTCAACTGTAAATTTTTTAGAGTCATTACTTTGTGCTGTTTGAAATTTCATCAGATTAGTTTGTTCACAATTTAGTTTTAGTCCATTAGTACGAAACCATACTTCAAGTTCCTCCATAGCATTGATAGTAAGTATTTTAAGCTCATGTACACATTCAGCCTTAAGCAGGGCAGTGGTGTCATCTGCATATAAGATGAGGTTTGTATTAATGTTGCCATTGCCATCAAGATCATTTATATAAATTAAGAATAATATTGGGCCAAGGATTGAACCCTGGGGAACACCAACTGAAATCTTTTGCCAATCTGATTGAAATTTTAATGAATATCTTTCAATTACAACTCTTTGCTTACGGTTACTTAAGTATGAACAAAGCCAAGAAATTGCAGTTTTTGAGAAATTATATTTTTTTTTACTTTTCTAATAGAATCTCATGCAATACACAATCAAAAGCCTTGGATAGATCACAGAAAATACCAGATACCCTCTGTGATTCATCCAAGGCTTCCAAGATGTGCTCTACTAATTCAGTAATTGCCATTGAAGTATTCCTGCCAGATCTAAACCCATATTGACTGCTGGAAAAAATATGATTTGATTTAAAAAATGCTAAAACTATCTGGGTTATTGACTCCACCTTTTTTAAAAATTGGTTTTATTACTAAGGAACCTAGATATAAATTAGATATAAATTGACCATGTACCAGCTTGGGAATTACTTTAGTAATTATTGTATCAGGCGTTATGTACAATAAAGCTTTGTCTATTGTCTATTGTCTACTGCATATTTCATCTGGTCAGGGAAGATTCCCTCAGTTAGAGATTGGTTGACTAATTAACAAAGAGGTTTGGCAATTATGTCTACATTGTCCTTTATGAGGTCTACTGAAATTTCATCCCATCCAACTGACTTCTTATTTTTAAGTGAACGTATGACATCTTTGACTTCTTTAATTGTTACACCACTGAAAAAAAAACTGGCAAAGAAGGTGGAAAAACCCTGTCAAGGAAACCAAGGGCATCTTCAACAGAAGGCACAATATTTAATGAATTGGATGATGATGTAAAAAATTAATATTTAAAACCTTAGCAATTTCAGAACCTGATGTCACTTCCTTGTCGTTAACTATCAAGTTTGGAAAATTCTGACATTTTTCAATGTTGCCAAGCTCCGTTTTTACAATATTCCATCTAGTAGTTTTTAGGTAAATTTCATATAGTATGAAACGATTTACAATAAAGCACGATTTATTTAATTAGGAAAAGTTTGAAAAACAAATAATTAGACAAACCAATTTTACAAACCCACAAACAGACAAAGTTCGTACTAGAGTATAATATCAGACGATAATACCTGCACTTTCATACCCATATTGACACTGTTTGTAGAAGGATTTCCTCAGAAATCTTTCTCCTCCCCCAACTTTCTAAGTTTGCAAAATGTGATGTATTAATTGCAGCATATTACAGAGTAATTTTTTCACACCTGACATACGCAGTGCCGGTGCAGGGGTGTGAGTGTGGGAAAACGTCTTTCCTCTTCCAGAAGAAGGCAGTCAGAATAATCTTTGGTTTGAATAGAAGAACATCTTGCAGACAGTACTTTGATTCATCACAAATGTTAACATTTCCCTCAATATACATTTTGGAAACTTTGACTCTCATTAAAAAGAGCCTACACTAATATCAATCTTCACCTACTCGTTCATTAATAATGAGTAGGTGTCACACATGTAGTTTGCTATCACATGTGCTCTCTAATTTTTTAAAGTTTTACATAGAAAAAAATAATAATTCCGCTTTAATTTGTATATAGTTTTGTGAGTAAAGAATCAGCGATTTGTTTTTAAGTGTATTATTTGAAAAAAAAACTTTGCTTTGTGAATAATGTGAGATAAACACTAAAACCTTTCTTGAAAATTATTAGATAGGCAGGTACAGTTCTCGCAGCTAGTCTGGGCGCGCGGACCCTTGTGTACTAACCGTCCCCCACGCCAAAGCCATGAAGACAGCAGTGAGGCGCTGAACAACCCCAGTGTGCCGTGTGGGCCGAATGTTTTTGGAAACGAGCAATAAACACTCCCCTCTACACCCCCTGCCCTAGCGCGGCCCCGCGCCCAGACTAGCTGCGAGAACTGTACCTAGAGATAGAATGGGTGCCTTATCAGATCTGAGGAAAGTTGGGCAACTCCAAGCAGTCTTATCTATGTGACTGATCTTTGTACACCGGTTCCTGACCTGGTGCTTCCTTGAACTTTATTCATACAAGCAACTTTATTTACAAACGTTTTAATCTAAACAAATTTTTATTTTTAAAACCATAAAAAAATACAAATATTTTTGTTATATTTTATTGCTACCATTGACTATACACTGCATAGACTTCCCAAGTACTGCTGGACTCCACATTTTAAAATAATTTTATTTCTATATCTTAAGATAAAACAATGAAGAGACAATTACAACTTAAGTTTAAAGTTGGGGACAAAGTTTTTGCTAAGCTCAAGGGGCACTCCTCCAGGCCTGCAACTATTAGTGAAATCGATGATAATAGTAACCTGCTAAAATACAAAGTAATATTTTATGGAACAAAACAAACAGCAATCATCAAAGAGATATGCTCATACCTTGAAAATAAAGCTCGACTCGGAAATTTGAAGGGTAAAGGATTTCAACAGGCTATTAAAGAAGTTTAAACTAGTAAAACAAATAGAAATATAAACCCCTAGAACATCCACACCGGGACTACAATTAAGACCTACAATAGCTTCCAAGTACTACAGAAACATGTTAGTGACATTAAAACCCGTCCTGCGGGTAGCACAGCCGAACCTGTTAACATCAAAGTGCATAACAATTATACTGTAGAGGGGGAAATAACTCAACAAGTAAGAAAAGAGACAACAAAACAAAAAGTACAGCTGGTAGTTTTAAAAACCATAGAAATAAAAGACAGTCTGCACACCTCCTCTCTCGGATGACTCCTATGAAGCTAACCCTATGCTCTGACAGCCAGGGTGCAACTATTGCGAGTAAAATTGAAAGCCTGACTTAAGGAAAAATCAATGTATTCAGGTATGTCAGAGGGGGTATTTCACCATTTCACCAAACTTTTATGTATTATTTTGATTTGTGTTTTCCTAAGAAACTATGTAGAAAATAAAGACATAGAAGCAGGTGGTTTACTGAAGAGCTAAAGATTGAAAAATAATCAATTATTGAGTTTGCTAACAATGCTAGAATGTTAAAAATCAAAACCATGTACAAACAACAAAGACAGAACAATAAAATGTTTAGAAATAAGGTTACAGCTGCAAAAAACTATATTATCAAAATAAAATAAACAACAACTCAAGTAACATGAACAAAACCAGCTGGCAAATTATTAACTCTGAAGTCGGTAAGGCAAAAGCAGATAACCACATTACTAGTGTTCATATTAACAATCAATGTTGTTCAGACCCTTATGTTATATGTAATTCATTCAACAATTATTTTACTGATTTGGTTGACACAAACATTGTTCCTAACTTGGATTCACTTGTTGGGAATGTTAAGGACGGTGTAAAAGTAGTTGAGTCAGATCATATAATTCCGGGTTTTCATTGTATACCTGTTGATGAGAAAGAGATTGACGAAATAATAAGTCATCTTAAAAACTCATTTAGCACCGGCTATGATGAGTTTGATGTCTCTGTGGTGCTCATCAAAAAAGCAAAATCACCCCTCAGAAAACCTATAGCTCATTTAGTAAATTCTTCCTTTATATCAGGCATTTTTCCTAAAAAACTAAAAATTTCTAAATTAATTCCATTATTCAAAAAAGGAGATAGATATGAATTATCAAACTACTGTCCAATTGCTCTACTTCCGGCCATGTACAATAGTTTATATAACTTTTTGGAAAGTAATCGCCTTTTTGAGGACTGTCAACATGGATTTCGAAGTGGGAGATCAGTTGTGACAGCTGCTACAGAGTTTTTAGAGTCAGTTATTGATTGTTTAGATGCAAAACAAAAGGCTCTTGGTATTTTCATGGATTTAACCAAGGCATTTGACTCTATAAACCACAATCTACTTTTAAATAAATTGTCTAGCATCGGAATAAAAAATAAATCTCTTCAATGGCTAGAACCATACATT